GGGGGAGACAGAGTGTCTAGATTGTTTGTAACAGTACGTCCCAAAATCGTCACAGTCGTTAAAGTGTGATCTAGAAAACTCTAATGATAAAAGAAAGAGAGTTTGTTTCAACAATGCATCACTTTTAACTGTAACTTTCCCCTAAAAATAATTCCGCAGGTCTAAAAGTGTCACCAGCTCAAGCAGAGCCCTATGAAGGCATATTCAAAACAGGGAAAATTTTTAAAAGCTGATCAGAAACAATCTGCAAAGGATAGCCTTTGAACTGATGACTCAAGACAGGAGCACATTAATGGGCTCCTGACTACGAACTATTTCGACAGATTTCTTTTAATTTAAAAAATATATTTTAACAAGTCAAAAATGTCCAATCATATTACACGTATGCAGTGTACTGGTACATAGGTCGCCCAGGTGCGTTGGCGTTCCCATCAGGCTGTTCGTCCCTTCCTAAAGTCTCCAGCCAGTGATATTCCGCTGGTCTGTTGTTCTGCCGTGAAGATTTACGGGGTCCTTTGGGAGCCATTCTCACCTGGAAATCATTTATTGGATAATCGGGTTTTCTCACGTTTTCCTCTTCAACAGCCACGTTTTGCTATTGGAAATATTAAAAATGGTTTAATCGCATTCATGTTTGAACTCAAAATTTACTAAGGTCTGTAAAGCGGGCTCAAGTAGTTCAGTTTGTCTTATTAAGAGTGTATTCTTATCTCAAAGGGATCTTCCCTTACACCCAACAATGAAAAAGTGTAGAAGTGGGGGAAAGGCTGGGAATTGCAGAAACTTTGGGTGGCTATTTTCTAAGTCTATTGTAAATCTCTCTCTTCTAATCTTATGAGTACAGACAAAAGAATATTAACTGATATTCCCTTGATGCACAGTAATGAATCGTCTCGCCCAAAACAAAACACATTCAACATAGATAAGGTATTTTCAATTTCCTTTAACTGTAAAAAAAAGGTTAGAAGTCGTGTTAAAATTAGAGGGGCCGATTATGCTGCATGAGTCACAAACAGTTGCATCTCGCCGACTGAAGAATGTTTTCATGACCTTTACACTGGTCCGCTTTAGTTTTGATCGAGCGGGAGAGATCTTCCGGCCTTTGGATCGATCGAACAAAACATTTGAGGCCGAAGCCCGAAGGAACTCGGAGAAGAGAGAAAAGATTCCAAATTCGTGGCTTTAGGCATTCATTTATTATGATTTAAGAATATGTAGTGGCATGATCGTGAGAATCAGACATAGAAAAGAATAACTTATTTAAGGGGCTAGTCCAAATTCCATAGCGAGTGTTTGACTGTGGAGTACTTACATTTCCGTTGACATTGACTCTCCATCGTCTTTTGTAGTATTCATTCTTTCGGCGTCTTTTTGCCCGGTAAAGGAATATCGCCAAAAAAACAACGATAAAAACTGTCAAGCCAAGTGCAAGAGCGATGGCGATGTAGTCAACATTGCTGAGTCCATCGTCTTGTTCCTCTGGCGGCTGTTCTGTTTCTTCTTGAACTGAAGAGGAGTCAAATCAGCAAAAGTGGTCTTAGTGGTGGCATTTTAAAGAGCCAAGGTTAGGAAATAACCAATGAGAGAGCCGGATTTGAAAAGTTTACCGATCAGACGGCCGATTCTAACTACTTCATTCAGTGCATCATGACTGTAAGTATTACTTTTTAAGTCCGGGCTTCTACATGTAATTGGTCAAATTTCCAGATCTGGCCCTCTTATCAGTGGTTATTTCAACTACGGTCTTTACATGCATGTTAATTTTATCATAACCAGTGTGGGTGCGGCTTTCCAGAAACATGGTTAAAGAAGAGTTCTAAGTCATAATTGGACTTTATCCCTTATTTTTTGGCGATCAAATTGAAAAAAATTGGCATGCATGCTTCCAGATTCCAATAGGATGTTAACGTAGAGCATCAAACTGTAAAAGCGCCTCCACGTCCCAGAAAGCCCTTCTTGTATTGCTTTGGTCACTATAATGTATCTAACAACTGTCCACCGAAGTGGAGGTGAAGTCTTTCTGGTGGACATTTACCGAGCGAGTCGGTAGATATTTCCCAGTTTCACCGACAGTGACGTGCATCCAATCCAACTTTTTAGAATGTAACAGTGAAGAACCCAAAAATAAGTTTATTCCAGTGCAAAATACCAATAAATATCGGGTATTAAACAGTCTCAACGCTAGATTCTGTCTCTCTGGCTGTTCAGAGATGAATAATGCTTGCTTTTCACTTCCGAGCTTGCCAATCAGCACGTTAACGAAAAGTACCGATCGTCTATGTGGTAAGCACCAATATAAAAACTACATCCACAGAGTGGGTACAGTAGCAGAAGATCTTTGAACAACCCTAGTGAGTAGATTTGAATGCAATCGTAACCTCTCAGAAGTGTGCCACAGTAACACAGTTTGTACTCACCATCTGATGGGGAGACGAGTTGAATTTTCTTCAATACCTTTGAATTATTTGCTGTGCAAATGTACAATCCAGCATCTTCTTTCGTGAGATTAGAAAGGACTAAACTTATATTGTGAGAGGTAGTGTTAAATAAAATGTTTTCGTCCTTGGTCCATTTTAAAAAAGTGGAGGAGGACAGGCTTCCGTTACCACAAACAAGGGTGATATTTTCTCCCGGTTCAAAGGTCTTGTCCTCTGGCTCTGAAGAAAAATAAGATGGCTCTTAGCTCGTAACATGTCCAGTTTCACCTAACGATTATTCATCGTCCAGTAAAGCAATTGCAAAAAGGCCGGCCAAAGGAAATTCTCTCTAAATGTATTTGAAGGAGGTGTTTGCTTCGTATACCTGACATAAATGTTTCTGTGCCGTTTAGAAGTACTTATAGAATTTCACCACTGAGTGCGCTTTGAGATTCCGAAGAGCAACTTACCCTTAGCTTCAAATGTACTTTAAATTCGAAATGAGCTTCGTCATTTCGAAACCAATTCAGTAACCTGACCATATATCCGGTCACATACGAAAGACAAAGTCGCCGTTCGTTCTAATTTTGAATCTGATTGGTCAAAAGAGTGGTAGAATTTTTTTTGAAAAACAATTGCTAAACATTGGTAAGATAAGTTACTATGACAGTGCGCAGACAAAGACAAATAAGCAAACAAAACAAACAAACAAAACACTAGTAAAAAAGAAATCAACAAAAAAATTAATGGCCTTTTCAAGAAGTCTCCATCGCAGACGTTGTTTAGTCTCGTTATAAAACGCTTTCTGATGGAGGGTGTATGTTGCTTTAAGAAACCAACAGAAAAACCATCTGCATGGGAGATCATCACAGGTTACTTTCAGTTGCAGTGATCAATGTGTCTTTTGTTCGAATCATCTTCTCACAAACTTTCTATAAATGAAAAACTCCAAAGTTGCGTTAAAAATCCTGATGGGCAAAGAGTTGACGTAAGTGAGTGAGCAAGTGAAGTGCATATCAGTGTCTCTTGCGTGCAGAGCAAACCTAATTTGGTGCCATCTTTGATTTTAATAACAGCAGAAGGCTGGGGAGAGAAAGAAATTTGTGCCAAGAGGGTGGGAGACGGTCAATAGGAAACAGAGGGAAGGGGGTGCGGCCTTCCCCGTCCACTCTAGCACTGAATCAAACATGGCCAGTAGAATAAACTATCGCGAGCTTGTAACGTTAAATCGCCCTAATGAGACGCCTACACTGCAAGCTATCATGTCTCCTACTTCAGGTCCTCGAAACAATGTTTGTACTGACCATGCTTGGTCAGCAGTTACCAAAATATTTTGCGTGACTCCCAAGGGAGACCTCTCGTGCATATGAAGCATAAATTAACCTCAGTGACATAACAATCTTCGTCTGGAAGCTCTTTCAAGCGCGTCCTTCTCCAATTTTTTCGCTTTAGTGCATTTAAATAATCACTATCTGTTTAATTTTGAAAGAAGTGAAAACAAGATGTTCCAAAAAACAATTCTACGAGTACGAGCTTGCAAAATATTCTGTTGCGGCTTCAGTCGTTCCCCATGATAATCTCGTGGCGGCACAAGCTCAGCCGGCTTCTCATTGAATCGTTCCATTTGGTTCGGTGTTAAAGAATTGAACTAAACTTATGGCCAAGCTCTCACGCAGAGCCAGCTCCTTTGTAACAATCCTATCACTGTTTGGTCCCTTGCACTATTTAGCTATGGAATATCACAATAACAACTTCTGAACTACTAACTGATCAAACGATGAAAACTGGTTGTTCAAATCGGTATTGATAAACACACTCTTCAGCTGTAAAATGTATCCAAGAGTTACGGATTGGAAACCGGACTGGGTAGCTTCGAAGATTCACCATAGGTAATAATTCACTAACAATCACAATTTAGCTAGAATATAAGATAATGAGGTGTATAAGAGTTGTTTATAATTTGTGTTCATTGTTCCACAAAGCTTCGGTTGGTCCCTTATTATATGAGAACTGTATTTTAAATCATTGATGGGGCCGGCGGGCTTCAAATCGCATCTTTAATCTAGACAAACTAACTCAAATCGTAGGAAACGTCTTAGAAAAGAATTCCAAACGATAATCTTCGGTGGAATTTCAGTGTAAAAAGGAACAGTATTTCAATATTAGCAAGCGTCGATTTCGTGACTGATGACTCGAAAATGTTATTCCATAATTTCGCCACCCCTGGCGGTTTAGTTGTTATGAATCTTTAAGGTTGGATTATTATAAATTTGCACGCGTAAATGGGAGAATTGTATTATCAGTTAAATTGAATTTATCTACTACATAGCCTACCGTTTGAAGCAAATACTGTAACTTGAAACAGCGCCAAACAACACAAAGCCAATGAAAGTCGATGAATTATAACCCCACAAAACATCGTCTATCCTTGAGCGTTCCCTCGATGCCTTAAATGCGATGTTTCCAACTGATAGATTACAGTTTTTCCTTGTTAGAAATCACCCATTTCATGCTGACAGCAACCTAACCGTGCGTCGACACGCGATCACGAGGGAAAACAATCGCAAAAACTAATTTATTCCTATCCTCAACGACTCAAGCTAAATATCACGCATAAGTAAGCTTGGCGTTGCATTTAAATGAGTTGAGTTTAAAACAACAGTCAAAAATAAAAGCCTCTTTTTTAATCAACAAGAGTAAAAAAAAAATTTGGACGAGTCTCGATAAAGAAACAGCACAGCCGTCACATTACAGAAAAATAAGATCACTTGTCTGACAGGTTCGTAAGGCGTTAAATAAAGACGAATCAACAGATGCCGTACCCTACAGAGAGGACCTAATCTGTGAAAGGTTATCGCTGTACTAGGTCAAAATAAATACAGGCGACACAGGCTGTCACAGAGCGTCATGTAAGAAAAAAGAAACTTTGTTTTTAACTGTAATGATTTATAAATCCGCTCTGAGTCTTCAAATTCACGTTCATTCGTGCTAGAGAGAAGGATGTCATTTCGACTGTGGATATCCTTTCTAATAATAGGATTGGAGAAGTAAATAAACTTACCAGTGCAGACTGAAAGAAAAAAAGATAGTTTATCGCAGTAGTCTGTACTTTTTGTATTGCTAAAAAAAACAATAAGTCAAAATTTAGAAGTTGCTATCTTCGTCATTGAATAGATTACTGTAAAGCTGACAAGCTCAGACAAAGTGAATTTTCGATGTCATTAGAAAACGATGTTGTGGTATCCGTTTTGAACTGCCCGTCGGCCGACCAGTTACTCCATAGTCCTTACGCAAGAGGAAAAGGTCTGCATCTAAACAAATTCTTTCAATTCCTCTCAATTTGTTCGGAGATACTTTGATGCGAAAAACTCGCACAAGCCCTTAAGGATTATCCTGGGTCTTCAATATGTTTCTTGACTTTTTACACGTAATAGTGAAAAACTTTCCGAAAACTTTCGTTTCGGAAACGTTTCTGTTTATGTTTTGCACTTTAAATTAAATTCCGCCTCTCCGATTGTTCCATAAAGTGTTTCAGGGAAACAATCTTGAACGCAATACAACCTTGACAAAAAGTTAAGACTCTCTCCAACTTTTTTTTTCCTATCGTACTTTAATACTCATCCTATCTGGACAGAACACAATAAGACGTTGTTGTCTAATTCTTCAAGTAGACACTTATCTACAATTATTGCTTTGTTACGGACGCTCAACATTGCAAGTTCAAACCTTTTTTATATGATAATAACGTAATTGTTCTAATACAAATTTTTCAAATTATTTTTCGAAAAGCATACCTGTAAACAGCCAATTATAAAGAGCATTGATACAAGGTGTCTGACTCAAAACCACAGTCTTTTTATGTCTAAATTTCTTTCTGAACTATTTTGTTCTTAAATCTACTTTCGGTATCCATGCTGTAAGTGCGTATAAAAATTCTTGGCAATGAATTTAGTGCAGAACCACTTGAATAACAAAACAACCGCTATAAGTAAATGGCATTACACGGTTGAAGGCCTTCCATAATATTTCTGTCGATCTTGCAGGAGCAGATCTTTTTAGGAGCTGCTAATATACTGAAGTGAATTCATGCTAATTACACGAACTTCACCAGGTCCGAGCGCATCCTCGGTGACAGCGACGGGATTATTCTATAAATGAAAATAAAATAGTAAATATTTCATCGCTCAATTAAAGGGAATTCAGGTCAGAATTTCGAAAATTCCTCATTGTTGACAAAACTTGAATCGACTTGCATTCTTGTGTAAATCGCTTCGAGAATTAGCTTTTTTATACGGGCTATCAACACAGCCAGAAAGAAGGCTTTTAACTCTGTAATGTTTGACAGCGATCACTTGAAAAGTATAAAAGATATCTCTTCAATAAGAGGCCGACATCAGGATAGAGATGTTTGTATGATGAGAAATAAGTCTGTGCTTGTACCAATACAAACGTCTGAAAAATCGTGGAAGGGTGAATTAAGATGGGGTCTTGCAGCATGTAAACTTACGGTGTGAAAAACTATAAATTCGAAGGAATTCTTACAGTTATACGTTGCTTATTGAGGTGAAAATAACGGAAGGTGATAACAAAAGAAGAGAAACCTTTTAAATAAACCTTCGCATGTTTCGCAAATTAAAGGGATTTTTAGCAATTTCAAGATGTAGATTCAGTAGATAAACAAAAAAAAATGAAAAAAAAAAATGAAGAGGATACCATGAAGATATTAAAAAGCAGGGATAGTAAGCTACAGATTTAGAGCTCTTTCATTACAAATCAAAAATATGAAATAATCAGGACAAATCAGTTGGGTGCCAACAGAATCATCCTGCCAGTGGAAGGAGCAAGACGTAGTCAAGTGGTATAGATTTTCTTTTTCATGCGTTAGACGGTTCTTTTGAGCTTTTATAAATGTTGTAAAAAATATAAAAAGATACCATTGCAGGAAAGAACTAGATTAGGTACTCACATGTCCTGCTATGTTGTTGTTTTTGTTGATTGGGGGGTTGTTTCTTGCTCGCCACACAAAGTAGCCCACGAAAACCACCAAAAATGCAGTTAGTCCCAATGAAACTGCTATAGCAATAACGTCAACATCGCTTAATTCCTTCGCTGAAAAAATGAAATAAAAAATAAGTACTGTAACTCGAGGGACGTGCTTGCTGTTTGCGTGAGAAGGTGTACGTTTCATTCGGATTAACTGCAGGATAAACAGGTATTTTCGAGATATCTTGTTTGTTTATGGTTATGTTGTTCTTGTCATCAGTTCCTTTCGAGCGGATAATGACATTTTAAATCGATGTTGCAAACCATAAACATGTGATGACTTCAAAGGCATTTGCACTTCCATCTGTCGATATAAAACCCGGAACTGCGCAGAACGAAGTGTAACTTGATTGCCAATATCAACCGTCTCTTTTGACGTATATTTATACACGTCAAACGTGTAATGCTGGCAGTTTAACCCAACAAAGACTTGTTACATGAATTTCTGATGTGATATGGTGTTTAAAGTTAAAACGTGAGAAGGACTTAAGCAGTCTAAGGAAACTAATACTCCATATTACATTAGTTTCCCTAGACTTAAGCAGTGTAAGGAAACTAATGTAATTTTTAAGTGATTTATTACAAATGAAAATTACAGAAGTGCAAACAATAGATTTCGTGTGAAATTTGGTCTAGTTGTTTGATCTTATAGGGTAAAACGCGTTTCGTCTAGCACGAAAAAATGTCAGCCGTTGATAGAAAGTTATCGCTTCGTTCTTGACTCGAAGTGAAGTCCAATAAAAAAAAAAATTTCTGCGCCGTCTTGGGAATTTTGGGGGTGTTTCATGAAAACAAAAGAAAGCCAGAAAGATTTGGCATTAAGAGAGACAACAAGATTCAAAAGTTATCACATTCGAAGAATCAAAACGCCTTGCCGGAATATCGACACTGTTTTAAGCAACAGTTAACAAAACACCGCATCATTGAGATACTTAAGCGTTCAAAGCTACACGCTGCTTAGTTCATGGAATCCGCGAAATCCTCACGAGCGAAATTAAACGATGTTGTCTTCGAGGCAATAGTGGGTCTTTCGGCAAATACACCTCTAAAAAGTAATGATATTGAATCGAGTGGCCAATCGCGCTACTTCGATTGATCTCAATACCAATTACATCGCAAAAGTCATCATCGGTAAAATAAAAAACATCGACATGATCAAATTCAGAGTCGAAGATTTGAAAAAGTAATTTAAACCCCAACTAAACTAAATCTCCGCGTAGAAAAAATTATCTGATGTTTAATCATATTACTTACCGCAAGATACTTGAGGAATGAGCTCGAGAAACACACAGATAGCGACGATTAGAGCGCTTTGTTGATTCATCTCTGCAAAAACGTTTGTTGTCTTAAGCTGTGAACTGTTGGACCTAAACGTTAAGAACTGACGCAAAGACCACTTTATTTAAATGAAAGCGGAATTTGCTCACGATTAGTGACACACGAGTGCGTAATATTGTATATTTTTCATGGCTTAACAAAGAAGTGACAGATTCATAGATTCCTTCACTTTGTTCCTTTTTGTAATTTCAAACCTTCACTATCTCCTTAAATTTTATGAAAAAATATTCTCCGGGTAAAAACAATTCAACTTTTCCATGTCTTTTATTTTGTCTCTGAACAAACATTTCAAGAGCAAGAAAAACCTCAGCAACGTCAAAAATTGAATGGAGTTCGATTTGATAAACATAGGTTGCACGTACAGCTGTCTAAGGAAAATAAAATGTTCTTGTGCTTTTTTACAATTTGCTGAGTCGCAGCCTTTTTGTGATTGGCCGAGACAGAGTCACCCCACATCCAAACTGATCTAAAAAAAGATATCATTAACTCCCTGTGGCTTTGATTTGTCCAGGCCACAAAAGTTAAAAAACTGTGACAAATTTATGTTAATTCGGTTGCAGATGATTAAAACCTGCGATCTGAAGCGCAATAATTCTTAAGTCTCTGTCTTTCAATCTCGTAAATCTACGAATGACTGCTTATACAGTCCTTTATTTGAAATTTTTTCTTTTTCAACTTTCTGACAACGTAATGGTACCATTTCCAATTGGCCAATCACCATTTGTTTGGCAGCGCAAAACTCGCGTCATGGTCGCGCGAGAATTCTAGCAAGTTATGCTTCGGTAATCGAACGATGCGGGGGTTTTTCAGCTGTGTCAGCACAAACAAAAGGAGAGAAGGTACAAGGGAAGAGGAGAAGAAAGGAGATTTCAAAAAGGTGTGTACGAGAGAGACGATCAATAATAACGTTATCTGTATTTGAACCAAGGGGGTGGACGACTTCAAGACCTCAGGAAAAAAAAAAACAAAACAAGCATAAAATTAGGGTTTAAAGCAAACCTCAGCACTTCTTCAAAGGAAGAAAGTTAAATGAGAAAAATGATTTTGCAAATGCATAACCTAAGTTTACATTTTTCTTTGTAACTTTTCTTCCGCTCATTAAGTCACATTCAGTGCTATGCTAATCATATCTTTATTTCCATTCTGAAACAAAGAAGAGGTCTGTTAATCATAAAGGTTCCTATAGTGGTCAGTAGTCCATGGTCAGTAGTCCATGGTTGATTAGTGATCAAAGAGCAAGAAAAATTTTCTTCAAAGTGAGGGAAACTATGAGATCTTGGTGCGAAACTATTGAATAACAATGAAAATGAGAATGATAACAAATGATTAATCAATCAATCAACATGGTAAAAAATGAAGAAGATCTGAAATGTTGGACCACATATGACGCAGCTGATAGACAATGGCTGAATCAAAAGCAACGAAGCGTGGTTCACTAACTGAATTAAACATGACTCGTAAGAATACATGACGGTTGCTGAATATCACGTAATTAAAGCGTAGTAGAAGTCAAGAAGTGTTTTCTCTCGTAGCTGGTTTGAATAGGAAAATGGCAAACTACGGTGGGAAAATAGAACGGGGAAAATAGTCGGGCGCGAATTGAGTTTCAAGCGAACAAATCTTTTCCCTGCCTTGCAAATAAAGCCTTAACACACGTAAATAACGAGAGGATTATTACGTTCGCAAACCATTGTAAACTGCGGTTTGTTGCTTTCTGATAATTCCTTTGGGTTTACAAACACCATCGCTTTTCAACAAATCCGTGACTTCGTGGTTCATCCATCATTTCATAATTACCAAATAAAATTCAAAACACTTCTTACTTCTTCTGTGTTCTTTTAGCGTTTGGATTCACTTTCAATTTACTGGTTCACGAAAGAATTTGTATTTCTTTCTAAGCTAACAGTTATCTTTTATTTACTAAGGCATGTATTTTCTATATATTTTCATTCTCATTGGATTCTTTGAAATACCTAAATACCTTCTAAGATGTTATTGTTAATTATTCAAAGGTTGAATTTTTAAACATATTTTCAAAAATATACATAGATCAAAACCTTCCACAGTTTATTTGCTTTAGCAAATAAATGCTTGGTAAAATTTCCGCACAGCCCCATACTATTGTAAAACAAATCTGTTTTCCCAATGGCGATGTATTGTTTTTGTCATTGTTTTCTCTATCCAAGAACTGAATGCATAATGTAGTATGGGGCTGCGCGGAAATTTTACCAGATGCTCTTTCAGAACTGTGTACAGCCTTCTCTTCCGCTTCTCCCCGAAGACTCAATCACAGCCTGAGTCGTGTTTTCCTCGTGTTTGTCTTCTTCACAGTTATTTCTGGCATTTCCATTTCCAGTGTCAGGTGTCATTTGCTCATTTCTCTCGGCTTCAGCCTCGACTCTGTATCCTCTAAACTCGACAAGCTCCCCTTCTACGGCCAGGTTTTCCTATAACAGACAAAGACAGAGAATAAACTGTGAGCAATGAAAACACAAACCTATAGTATTGCGGAATTTTTTGCTACTTTGGTAGTATTATCTAAAGTTCTGAAAACCAAATCAACAAGAGGCTCATCTTTCTCGCAATTTATTTTTCACGAGTGTTTTCTCATAATTGTGTAAGCAATTTTTCCTTCGCTATTGGCTCCCGTTATCATGTAACATGTAACAAAAAACAAGCCAAAATTTGACGAGAAAGGAAAGTCTGAAGAAAGTTAAGTTTGCAGCCAGAATTAGAGTGTGGTAGTGTGATACCTAATTGACTATCAACTGTCATCCCACTCGGGGAGGGGGTGTGGGGCGTTACTAGTGATGTTCGTAGTCGTTTATAAAGTTTGTAACTTTTTGTATACTTCCGTAGTCGAAGTATACAAAAAGTTATACATTGGTGAAACAGGAGGACGACTAGGTGATCCATTCCGAGGACACCTTCGCGACGTTGAAGAAATGACAAGTACGCATCCAAACCATACTGTCTCACCGACGCAGCACCATAGTTTCTTTAAAAAGTTACCCCCTTTATTCATTTTCCAGGAATAATTCGAGTCGTTTAAATCTCAGTGGAAAAACTGCCCTGAACGGTGAATCAATAAATCTGTCTTTACAGAACATGTGCACCTCTACATTTATTGACTGGAACTAAAAAAATATTTCAAAATTTTCATATGATGTTCATACCTCTGCACCTCCATGGTTGTTCCTGAATCTTTGTGCTTTGCCTTCTTTCTGAGCTCTCTTAATTCTCCTGTTTCCGCGCCACAAGAAAAATACTATGAACACCAGGAGAAGGAAAGCAATTGTAACGGACAAAATGATTGCCCAAAATTGCTCAGGGCTAAGTGTTCCCTTGCGAGCAGGGTCGTCTGTAAAGTAAAAAGGTGAAACTTAAAAACTTAAGGTGCTGAGGAAAAGTAGTGACTAGAAGTGTGTTTTTAGATTTGATACTGGAACGACACCATTCGACACCAACTGAGCTACTCTTTTGGCTGGTGATAGACAGTTGGCAGATGATAGACAGAAGGCAATTGATAGACGTTGGCATGTCAGTATTTGAGAAACTGCACACCTATCCCTCCCGGGCAAACTCAACATTAATCCTACCTTGTTATCAGTTGACTGTTGTTGGGTTAGGGGAGGGGTAGGTGCGCAACCGCTGAGATACTGACATTGATCCATTAATTTTTCGCGTAAACTTATTTTTTTTCTTCATCTTCTTTGACAGAAAGCTATTACAGTATCTTTTCCAGGTTATTTTAAGTTGAAGTTGACATTTTAAGATCTATAAATTTCAGTTCACACGTTCGCATAAGCTAGATTCGCACACTGTTTTTGTTATTAAGTCTAATTCTCTGTAAATAAACCCCTTGAGAGAGCAGGGTGCAGGGTAAAACAAGTCATATTTTTTTCTGAAGAGTTTGGAAAGGGAAGAATTAGAGTATAAGTGCTCATTGCAACCTATAAACCAAATGTGATACATTAATTTATTTCTTAGGGCTATATTTATTGCATTAATAGTTTAAGTCATGGATATTAGTGTATACATATATAAATATATGTATGCATATAATTTTTGTTTTTTTTCTAATGTATATTTTAAGATTTTTTAAGTAGTTTTAAACTTTTATACTTAGTTCACGCCCCTACTGGAAACCAGCTTCTATAATGTTGATGATAGGCTAGAATTCATACCCCTAAACCTGTAGGGAGTTACACGCCCTGCACAAATAACTGTAGCGACGTTTTTCCCAGAGTCCAATAATAGATTAGGAAGTGCTTAATCTTTCCAGCGAAAGTCAAGTGTTACAGTGTTATATCTTTAAATAAGGAAGTGTTTAAAGGTAAACAGTTCACTTTCATGAGGGAATGACTCAGAATAAAAGGGGTTCCAACTTCTAGGTTTTAAAGCTTGGTCAATGTGTACAAAGTCACAGTTGCTGATTATGTCTTTTGCTAAAAAATT